TGAAGCCCATCACTATTGATTTAAATTCGATGTCACGGAATAGTGTGATTAGTTTTTGTTCTCTTTGAATCCCTACAAAAGAATGGAATTTCAGGAAATAATGAATACTTTGAAACACGATAATATATGAGTTGGTTACATATTAGCAAATACGTTCTACTGATTTATCCAAAAATTCCGTTTATTGTATCAGTTTGTACAAAAACTTCATTGGTTATTTTTCTAGACTCAATTTAAATTAGATAACCAGTCTAGATATGGAATTACTTGTCATGTCTAAAAAGGTTGGTTCGATAACAAGATCAATCAGTCTTAGAAAAACAATGGCATATTGCCATTGTTTCGAATTTGATTAAAATCTCGGGGTACTGTTAAATTGAATTTTCATAACAAACTTCCCACAATAATCATAACTGTTGTCATTTCAATGTTATGAGAAAAAATAAAAAAGTTAGTGAAATTAATCACCGTGAAGTTTTTCGGTAACTTATTTTGAAAATGTCACACATATCATAGTGTTGTGAATCATGACGTTTCCATTTTTTGAAGAACTGTTTTCAGTGAATTCACCGGACGCTGTCTGGATATGCCAAATATTATTATCGAGTATGTTCTCAGGATAACTATTCATCATCCAGTCAACGAAGTCTGTGTCGAAAGTATACTTTGGTGTTATGTGGTTTACGTGGTCTTCCATCAGAGGGCGTTAGAATACCCCTACTGGGTAAGGTGAAAGAGATGAGTGTCCTCTTGAATTGGGATCTCATTCTGAAATTAGTGTATCAGTATGGAAAAGATGTATGTCTCCGGTAACCTTCGGGTTACCGGACACCCTCTCGTCGTATAGAATGCCTAGCTACTCATGGTACCCTTCATAGACCATGAAGTAGCCAAAGAAGTCGACCCAGAGTTTACAAAGGAGATAGTCGTCGATTAATTAAATTCCTCTATCCTCTCTATAATATTGGATCAAAAGCTTTTTCAGTTCTCCGAACCTTAATTATGTTAACATGAATAGGTGGAGCCAGAAAGCAACATATCTCGTAAATCTGTCTTGCACCAAATTCTTGAGCAACAGAAGCAGAATCTACATAGGAGAGGAAATAAACTTCTTCTGATCAGGTCACACTAAAACGATGATTCACAGGAGGCGAAAATTCTTGCATTGTTGAATCAAGAGGGATTGAATATCTGACATCCCTAATATCAACTGGAATCTCTTCATTATACCATTATGTCTGCCGTAGAGGATATTCAAGAATTAGGTTCATAGAGAAAATGTTCCATGGTAGAGAAAATGTTCCATGATAGCAAAACACATACTTTGTGTCTCCTTCACTTGTAAGAGCCCGACTGTTGCCAGCTGACCTGAAGCATCACTCACCAAATAAAGTAATTGGCCTTGTTGAGAAGCTGGATTCATTTGGTCGATTTTGAATAGGTGTGAGCCACAATAATTGCTCGCAGGTTGGAGTGAAGGGTCGATTAGATCCACTAACTTTGGATCTACCATCGTATGTGGTCTGTAAATTCAAAATTTCTGTTTTGGACTTTGATTGAACCCTTCATTCTCACCAGCGTGGTTAGGTATATCTTTGGCCACGGGGCCACTTGAGGGTGCCGAAAAATCATATACCAAATAGCGAACGAAAACGGATACACCCAAAAGACAATAGATAAATTAGAAAAGAGAATCAAACAAAAAATACAGAACAAGGATCAAGCCAACCCAACAGACAAAACAACACAACGATGGACAGCATTTACGTACGTAGGACACCAAACCAAAAAACTAACAAACATCTTCAAGCCATTGAACATCAACATCACATACAAGCCAAACACGAAAATAACACAAAAAATAAACAGCTATGAAAAAGAAGAAGACAAAAACCAAAACGGGATATACAGTATACAATGCTCGGACTGCAACAAATTCTATATCGGCCAAACCAAGAAAAAACTGATCCAAAGGTACGACGAACACAAAAAGGCATACATAAACCCAATAGTATATAAATTAAACCTCGCAACACACGCCATACAAAACAAACATAACTTAACATAAGAAGACAAAAACCAAAACGGGATATACAGTATACAATGCTTGGACTGCAACAAATTATTTATCGGCCAAACCAAGAAAAAACTGATCCAAAGGTACGATGAACAAAAAGGCATACATACACCCAATAGTATATAAATCAAACCTCGCAACACACGCCATACAAAACAAACATAACTTTTCCCCACCAGAGAACATAAAACTCATAAAACAAGTCAATAAGGGAAACCGCATGGACATTTGGGAAAACTTAATATATATATAGAGAGAGAGAGAGAGAGAGACAGAGAGCGAGAACTAAACAATGAACAAGACAGTCCACTTTGCAAAGATAATTTTATTCCTCACTGAAATGAAAATGGATCAAAAAACACGTAAAAAATATATTCATTGTTTCAAATATTGATGAATATCCACTTTTCACTAATCCGTCTGAATATTTATTTCAGTTCCAGTTAAGTTCTGGAAGTTGAAACCTCTTTCCAGAAAAAAAAAAACTATTCAGCTTTCCACTTATCTTTTCTTTGCAAGCCAAAAAGCTTTTTCCAAAAAAACTGATTCCTCTTAAAAATATTTGCTACTCAATTCAATCGAAACCTTTAATATTCAGTTATTTACGCCTTTCATTATTACAAATTGTTTATCTTCATGACCTACAATAACAAATCCATGCCAGTGCGTCAAGTTATTACTCTACAATCAAGATAAGTTTTCTTCCGTGTTAAGAATGAGAATTGTGGGTAGATAATAATGGAAGTACTTTCAAATCAACGATATATGTGGGACATCGGAGATTTATAAGTATGTATTCCTTTCTATTCGGAGGATATGCAATAAATATAGATAAATAAGGTGTACGAACCTTTCCTTTTCCTGTTTTTGTCATTCATCGTTACTGTTCCACTTTAAACGTAATATTTTTGTCGAGTATTACCAAGATTTGCAGACTTCTTCAGAAAACCTTGTCAGTTTGGCATCGGGTTTTCCACCAAATGCTGGAAGCATACATAATGGGGAACAATACAGAAATCTCAGAAGTACCAACAAAAAAAATTGGAACTATTTGTCTGAAAATTATTATGGGCCAAACATATCGATGATTATCTACAAGGATAAAGAAATACCTCAATATTGTTAGACCTCAATATTTCTCGAATCGATTGCGAACCAGTCCTTCGAAATCTATTCGTTGTGAGACAGGAGTTCATTCTCTTACAGTGATTTTAAAATATACCAGCAAAATTGAGGCGCTTCCATTACACCCAGTACATACATTGATGTTCTTCAACAGTCAGGTGGGTTTGTGATGCACTGTTTGAAACCTTTGGTGTAGTAATAAATATTACTGGACTTCTATTCCAATACTAAACCGTTATTTTCAACACTTCGACACGTGTTCCAATCACCAAGTGATCATCTTCAAGAGGAAGATTATTTTTCCTGTGTCCTAAAAATTTCACTTTTTTCTCGAAGAGGCAGCACTTCTTGGGGTTGATCTGCAAATGAGCATTCCGCGGCCTCGTGAAAACACTCCTCAAGTTTGACTGATGTTCGTCAAAACTTTTTCCGGTGACTATAATGTCACCAAGATAGAACAAGCATGTTTTCCAGGTGATTCCTCTCAACACCAACTCCATCAAGAGTTGAAATGCTTCGGGTGCATTGCATAATCCGAACGGCATAGACTCAAACTGATATAATCTATTGCCGATGGAAAAGGCAGTATTGTCTTTATCCTCGGGGCGAACTGCCACCTGTCAATATCAGCTTTTCAGGTCTAATGTTGAAAACTATCTGCAGTTAGCCAAGACGTTCAGGGTGTCATCTATTCTGGGCAGAGGGTAACTGTCCTTTCTGGTGACATCATTAAGTCTCCTGTAGTCTACACAGAAACTCGTCGATATATCTTTTTTAGTCACCAATACAACAGGTGACGACCAGGGGCTGTTTGATTCCTCGATTACTCATTCCTCCAACATGTCTTCAACAATGGATTCTGCTACGTCTTGCTTTGCGAAGGGAAGTCGTCTCGGTGGTTGACGTATGGGTTTGGCATCACCAGTATCGATCCGATGTTGAACTAAATCAGTTCGACGAATGACTTGGCCTTCACAAACATATCATTCTCTTCCTCTACGAATCAAATGACCTTGAATAGTTCTTCTTCGGGCAATGACAACCTTCTGTATTCGTTCCATCAAAGAATGATGTTTGAGATTGTGAATTCAACAGTATCCCTTCTTTTCAATCGATAGTGTTTCACCAGCAGCCAAAAAAGTTGTCAGGAAACTAAACCCTCATCACTGAGAAGTCAGTAATACCATGGTAACTACTAGGAGTGGTTACTAGAATCGATTTCGTTCATTGGTTTAGCTACGATGGCAAGACTAAAGTATCTTTCAGGCACGCTCATCGTTGAACGATTCCTTCTTCAAGAGAGAGTTGCTCTCAAGTGAATCACCAAATATTTTATCCACAACATTATCTCAATTGATATTACGGAAAAGGCAAGTATGGATCTTTCGTGATTCTAGATGTCACTGAAATAAATTATACATAATATTAAAAAGAATGGAATATGAGGAGATTATTCTAGCAGCTTCGACCTGTTCACATAAAGTTTATTAGAGGTTCATCGGAATTAAGTTTTGACACACACAAGCGACAACCATAGACCAGAGCGAACATGTGGAGTAATTGGGCAGTTCATTTGAAAACAAAAGTTCTTATAATATCTGTTTCTAATTGAAATGAAACAAAACATAATATGTAAAACTTCAGGAATGATCAAACTCAATGTATCAAATTTAGTTCAATTCATTTCAAAGAAGTAACTTCTTCATTGAGCAAGAGAAAATGAAATGACTGCGTTTCTTTTATTTTCTTATTAGTGAGTTCGGTATCGAATAATAAAAAGTTCCAATTATATTTTTAGGTGAGAGATATGAGAGATGAACTTCTCAAATCCCAGGATGTCAATGTCATCGTGGTGGACTGGGCTGGTGGCAGTTTACCCCTCTACACACAAGCCACTGCAAACACTAGATTGGTAGGACTGGAAATTGCCTACCTGATCAATTATTTGGTGGTGAGTTTTAAATTTAAAAGAATTTTCATGAAAATTTCATTTTTGGATTCTGAACAAATCTCGACTTTTCACTGTTATACTATTTATGTTGCATAGTGAAAAGTTGCATCTTCACAGAATGGCAAAGCGATCCCAGTATAAATTTTCAAAACTTCACCAAAAATATTCTTTTGACAGTTATTGAAATCGAACAAATCGCCATATTCGTACCGATCTCCGAGCAATTGGAGGATTTTACTGTATTTGTTCATCTACATTCACCGAGTTTTATGATTGGCCGAAGAGTCATAAAATTAAATTTTGAGTCATGTTACGGTGACGAATAGAATGCGAGCCGTCGTGTTGTCAATCTTCAGTTCAGAAACTGATCGCGATTTGAGTGTTGAAATTCGATATTGGTGCAGTTATAATTACTTAAAATTTTTGTTATCTGTTCCAAATGTGGCGTCCTTGGACAAGTACCAATAGTAATAACGAGTGTGATAACAACGCAGACTTTTTCCTGTGAAGTGATTCCAATAGCGATGGTGAACTCATCAAACTCATCACTCATCAAACTGATGAGTGCCTAGAAGATGACAGTACGACCAGCTGTCGAAAGCGCTCGCAGATAATTAATAGAAGATATAAAGCTTCAAATCCTTTTTGTGAATTTCGGCAGTTGGTAGTACTGTCATCATCTGGCACTCCTCCTGGCACTCCTTAACGTTCTACAAAATTATTTCGAAATTAAACGCATAACGATAATTAAATCAAAGGAATATAAAAATTGTAAAAGTGATGTACAACTTCTGAACAAATAGAAAAAACCATGAAACTAAACCCTTCTCCAGATGGCGCATTTGCTTTTTAGTTGATAGGAAAACAATATAGCGCTATCATGCCTAAATGTCTTAGCAAAATGGTTTAAGAATGTTTTGTCTCTAGTAATATTAGGTTATTTCAAAAGTTTTGTTCGTTTGGCTTCTATCGGTGAAAATGTTTATGAAGTGCTTGAAAATATGGTAGTCGGTTAGCGAGAGGTCTGGGGAATATAGTGGCTAAGGCAGAACTTCGGCGCTCAATTCGTTAAATTTTCAGACAGCGAATCGTAAAACGTGCGGACGGTTGCTGCTGACCCATTTCGCGGTATATTTCGTCGACTTCCTCACAATAGGACTCTGCTGTGATGATTTGGCTCGGTTGCAGAAAGTTATAGTGAATCACACCAGCTGCTGACCATCATTCAGTAACCATATTGTGTTTTTTTGGGGGGTTTTCGCCTTTGGAAATGCCTCACTGATGAGCTGACTTCATTGGTAACAGATGTATCGAGAAGAGTGATATAGTTCTGGTGTGTTGGAAGTGGTTTTGTCGGGAACTGAGAGCCGCTCATATCAATTTCAATATTATTGCATAAGCATTTATTCAAGATCTCACTATTATATTTGTGATAAAACATCTAGTTTAGACGATAGACTGGACATATAACATTCTGAAGGATTGAAAGAGTACAACTTACCACACCACTTATCCAATTCAGTGAAAATTCATGAATAATTGATATTTCATTTGTGTCACCATATAATTCAATTTATTACCCACTAACAGATAGATGAGCGATATTGTCAACTAACCTTGAAATATTTTCACAGTTTGCGATTATTTTATTGCCAAATAAGCTCTCCTTGATCTTATATAATGTTAACGAAACAAGAAAGTGTGTCAATAGGTAGGCGCGGAGCAAAGAATAAAAAAGATATTAAATTCGGTAATGTTTCATCTTGTTCTCTTTTTCATTTATCAAATGGGTGATAAATTAACTCAAGGTTGGTGTATTCCATGACCTCGTCTGGAAACAAAACAGAACAAAATTCGCGAAGGAAGGATGCTCAAAGACTCGTTCTGAACTTGTCCACTGAAATCTAGCTAATGGTATCTTCAAACACAATTTCGAATACTAGAAATTCAGGTTTTTACCTAAATTGAAATAAAAACTGATGCGTGAAGCGCTCAAAGCACTTACCAGCTATGATTCTCATATGCACAGCAGGTGAATACGACTCTTCTCATCCTCATTGGCGTACATCCGTTTCGGAATAGGACACTTTCTCATTGCCAGCACCAAGCCGGATAACACGACAACATGAAGCACCCAATTCATTCATAAAATTACGACTTTATGAATTTCACTTGTTCGGACTTCCATTGTCTACTATATAAAAAGATTTGAAATCCCTGAAACAACTAAAAAAGAAGAATTAAAAATGAATAGCTAACTGGTTGTGACGGCTTCTCTTCCTTGCGAGGCTCCTGCTGTCTTTTAGCCAAGGTCACGACTTGATGTCACGAATGAGTTAAATCTAATCATGTTATCGATGACGGTACGTAATGATATTCATTCGCTTATTTGATTTAATTCCAGCCATAGAAATCTTGTTTGAATGGAAAGAAGTATATTATTAGGAGATATTATGCATTTCTACTTCTCCATCTTCATACAAAAAAAGGTGGGATTCGTTGGATATATTAAATCCTATCAAATTTGAAGTTTGACTTTTACATCACTCCTCAAAAATCAAAAACTTGGTCTTCTGATATACTAAAGGATTCATATACAGACTGTTTCTTTTATCATGTGGAAACATTGATATATTCTAAACCGTAACAGATACGAAGACGATTAAATGGGAAAAAAGGTAACTGTAATCGGGAACAATACAATGGTCAAAGTAAATTTACGGAAACTCTCGCCCTTCTCGAGTTATACGGGAGAAACAGCATATCCACCATCATTTTTTTTTTTAATATGGACCTATCTTTTTTATTACAGATATTGATAAAGCAATAATTTCACAATCCAAGGGTATACCACATTTGATGTTTTATAGCATTTCATTTGAAATAACTACCATCATCCGTGACAACAATTTTAAATAATGGCCCTGTCGTTACTTCTTTTGTAAATTTTTTGGATTTCTTAAAAATATAATTCAGACAACCCAATAAATTCGACAAGTAGGTACCCTAACACAATGAAAATTCGTAATTTTTCGTTTTGGAAGATTTTGTATTGCCGTAATCCTTCTTACAAGACTTATTTCTCCCTAATCAGTTGTAATTCGTAATATTTTCATAATTATTCTCAATCCTGGAAGTAACCAAAATATAATTTTTTGGTCAAAATTCGATTGTTGTAAAATTTGGTATGATCAAATAGCATGTCACTTCATTTAGCATCTTACATGCGTAGGCTTCGCTTGTTTTCTGTGGCAGGAAAAATGAATGCGTTGTTGATATCTGATGAAAGGAGTAATATGCTAGTTGGTTATGCAAAATCAAATAGAAATCCTCTTTCGGCAAGGAATATGTATGTTGAGCTATACCCGAATCGTCGTTATTTCGAACATCCAAATGTTTAGACGATTAGAAAGAAATTTGAGGGACTATGGTGCATTTCTCAGAAAGAAAACAAGAAAATGTGTGGTTACTGGAAATGTGAGGAATTAAATAAATGTTATGGGTAAGCAAATATTATCACAAAAAAATTCACACAGTGAAAACATCTTTTTTCAAATTTGGGATTGGCCAGTTGGCCAGATACAAAAATTATGCTAATCAAGATTGTTCAAGAAATTGCCCACGAAATGGGAATTTTGTGAAATCTACCAGAACTGTTTTGAAAAATAACAAATATAAATGCTACAGAATACACAAAATTCATCACCTCAATGTAAGGGATTACGAAAAGAGTACGATTTGCGAAGTGGACAAGACGTAGAAATAGGGAAGTTGGAAATATTTGTAAAAAAATAATATGGACGGACGACTCAAAATTCACCAACAATGGTTGGTTTAACAGAAATATCCCCTATAGGGAAACCAATTTCCAAGGAAGGTTCGGAATAAATATTTGGATGGGAATTGTGGGAACAAACATCATTGGCCCTTTCATTTACGATGATCATTTGAATAGTGAAATGTATCTTCATTTTCTGTTTAATGAATTCGATGGCTACTTAGATAAATTGCCACTGAATATCCGCCATGAAATACAATATTTTCAACAGGACATAATGCAGTAATAGTGAGGAAACGTTTATATGCAATATTCCCAATGAAATGGACTGGAAATAATCGACCAATTAACTGGCCAGCTCGATCCCCAGATCTTACTCCTTTACATTTTTTTGTCTAGGGATACATAAAGGACAAAGTTTTTTCAACACCCAGTACAGATATCGACCATCTCAAACAAAAAATAAGAGATGCATGTATTATTATTACACCTATTATGCTAGAAAATTGCTACAGAAATTGTCTGGACCGACAACTTATGTGCATCCAACAAAGAGGTCGTCAATTCAAGCATTTAATGTAGATTGAATTGCCGTATTGGTTTCATTTTTCCCAAAAGTTCATGATAAAATAAATTGTTGTCACTGATGATGATGGTTATTTCAAATGAAACGCTATAAAAATATCAAATGTGATATACCCTTGGATTGTGAATTTATCACTTTATCAATATCTGTAATAAAAAAGACAGGTCCGTATTTAAAAAAAAAGTTGATGGTGGCCATGTTGACATGAAATGTTTTGTGGAATATATATTATTACATCGTCATAGTACACTCCGAATACAATAACATTTCTTTTTTCCATTTTTTGATATTCTCCGAAATAACAATTTCATTCGAAAAAAACGAAAAACGGCATTTTTGGTTTTCCTCTATAACTCGAGAAGGGCGAGAGTCCCCGTACATTTTCGTCGACCATTGTTCCCGATGGCAGTTACCCTTTTTTCCCATTCAATCGTCTTCGTATCTGTTAGGGTTTAGAATATAG